CAGTCCCCCTTTTTAAATAAGGGGACCACCACCCCGAACATGCCAGTCCAGTGAGACTGCCCCCGATGTCCAGGCGATATTGCAGAGCCGCGTCAGCCAACACAGCCCCACAACATCCAGAGCCTTAAGGAACTCTGGGCGGATCTCATCCACCCCTGGAGCCTTGCCACAGAGGAGTTTTTTAACCACCTCAGTGACCTCAGCACCAGAGATTTGAGAGGCCAGACTCTGCTTCCTCACTGGAAGACGTGTTGGTGGGATTGAGGGGGTATTCGAAGTATTCTGCCCACCAATCCACAATGTCCTGAGTAGAGGTCAGCAGTACACCGTCCCCACTACAGATAGTGTTGGTAGCACACTGCCAGGTCTTACCAGCATCCTCCTCCACCATCTGAGCAAACTCACCACCAGGTAGTGGCCAGTTGACAGCTCCGCCCCCCTCTTCACCCGAGTGTCCATGACATGCGGCCACAGGTCAGATGAAACAACAACAAAGTCGATCATCAAGCTGCGGCCTAAGGTATCCTGGTGCCAAGAGCACATATGGACACCTTTACGTCTGAACATGGTGTTCATTATGGACAATCCATAACTGCCACAGAAGTCCAATAACAAAACACCACTGGAATACAGATCAGGGAGGCCGTTCCTCCCAACCACACCTCTCCAGGTCTCACTGTCATTGCCCACGTGAGCGTTAAAGTCCCCCAGCAGAAAGAGGGAGTCACCGGAAGGAGCGCTTTCCAGCACCCCCTCCAAGGTCTCCAAAAAGGGTGGGTAGTCTGAACTGTAGTAGGCTGAGGGAGGCTACCCTCTCATTCACTGGGGTAAACCCCAACGTACAGGCACCAAGATGGGGGGCAACTAGTATGCCCACCCTTGCTCGGCGCCTCTCAGTGGGAGCAACTCCAGAGTGGTAGAAAGTCCAACCCCTCTCAAGGAAACTGGTTCCAGAGCCGGAGCCATGCGTTGTCCGACTATATCTAGTTGGAACCTCTTAACCTCACACACCAACTCAGGCTCCTTCCCCACCAGAGAGGTGGCATTCCAAGTGCCAATAGCCAGCTTCTGTAGCCGAGGATCAGACCGCCAAGGTCCCCACCCTCGACTACCACCCGTCACACACTGCAGCCAACTCCTTTGGCCCATCCCACGAGTGGTGAGTCCATGGGAAGGGGGACTCACGTTTCCTCTTCGGGCTGTGCCCGGCCAGGCTCCATAGGTCAGCCCAGCCACCAGGCGCTCGCCAACGTGTCCCACCTCCAGGCCTGGGTCCAGAGGGGGGTCCCGGTGACCCACGTCTGGGTGAGGGAACACGGTTTCCATTTATATAATTCATCATAAGATGTCTTCAGGCTGCTCTTTTTCTGAGCACTCCCCTAGGACCTGTTTGCCATGGGTGACCCTACCAAAGGCAGAAAGCCTCAGACAACTTAGCTCCTAGGATCATTGAGACACTCAAACCCCTCCACCGCGGTAAGGTGGCAGCCCAGGAAGAGGCCCCATTTTTGTGTCTGTTTTTTATGTAAATTAAATGGTATTGAATGTTTACCATTTTAATCGATGATCTTTTTTTTAATGTCAGCCAAAATGACAGACATTAAAAATGTTTAGTCCAACCTTCGCTCTAGATCTATAGTGATGCTTGCTTTAGGGCTGGGGTTTTATATATGTTCCTTTATCTCAGACTGTACTGCTGTTTTTGCATGTCTGTCGTATTGGTGGTTCTTAGAGAAATTTTTTGAGTAAGTACCAAATATAAAAAATATTAGAACAACTGGTCTAAAGCTCTTAATTGTCTGATATGAAATTAGGATAAAAAAGAGCCTCACATTTGCTTAATTAAATGTGTTTTTCTTGCTCTGTACAGTATGTTGACTCTCTTATCTTTTAAGTTTTGTCAAAAGTGTAAACCAGGAAATGGTACATTGCCAACTGACTTCAGTGCATTGACTTGTCCACTGCTGTGGATAATTTAATATTGTTTATCAGCCAAATGCAGCTTCAAAAAGTTTACTTTGAGTTTTAAACTTTGCTGCAACTATTCTGTCAGTTTATCCCTCTTTGCACCTTGTTAAGGCAGATAAGAGAATTTTGCAGAGGAGCATTTTTCTCCAAGCTACAGCTTGACTGAAGTCTTCACCTGGCTCCTGGAGGTTAAACTTATAAAGGAGGTGAGAGCTAGAGAATGCAAGTACGAGAGCTTGTGAGGCAGATAAAAAATTTGCCTTCCTTTTAGAGACTCAAAGTAATTGCTTGTTTGTTCTGGACTGAAGGGGAAGCTTGGGGAAGCGGGGATCGGTCCATTATGACTGCCTCCCCCTCAATGCCCTTATTACTTCCTTTATCTCTGGCTTACTGTTTGTATTTTAGACACTTAAAACTGATGAGAAAGTGTGGGAGTTGATGTCACCCCCAAGGTTTTGCTGCCATTGCTTAAGCTAATAAGGTGTCCCGCTTTCACCAACACGGCCACCACCGCAGCAAAAATGAGTAATTAGAGATGGGAATAAGACGTGTTAACATGTAGTACATGTATGAAGTACATGTAGGACAAACAGGCACACGGCTGATTTCCCTTTGGAGAGGGGGAAAACTGTTGTACTGAGCAGAATAGTTATTACCATTTGGATGTGTAGGAGGAGGGAAACAATGGGCTGAAAACAGGGACCTGCAAGGAAGGACGTTGTTGCACCAAAGTAAACACTGTTATTGATGAGGAGAATAATAACGGGGTGTGGGGGCAGTCTCGAGGGCAAATACAAAGTCATTTGAAGAATGCATCTGAAGATGATGAGATGCACTCCAAGTCCCAAGTTGCTGCTCAGCATCTGTCTGCAGAGTCCAGCCACCTCCAAGATTAGGCAGGATGCACAACACTCTGCATGCTAGGCCGTGGTAATTAAACAAACTTAAATGTGCTTTGTGGGTTACTTAGTTTTAAAGTCCTTTAGTGTGTACATTTGAGTTGAAAATAAAATACAGATGAGAGGCACGTCTCCATTCACTCAGTTTAAATGTCATTTAGTTGTCTCTTTGGAGTGTTAGATGCACTGTGGGGTCTTTTTCAGGGTATTTGGGCTTTATTGTCTTATCTTTCTGATAAACTGTCAAATAGGAAGGTGTGCGTATTTGTAATTCAGGCCACACTTCACTTAAGCACACGCTTTCCCTCCTAATTCTCTCATTTTCAAGATGCTTTCGTGGCACGGCTCCCAAAGCACAAGGCGAAATGGCTCATTTAGTCTCTGGTCTGAAAAACAATTTAGACCACTGGTGTACATCATAAAACACACCTAAGCTGTTATTTTGACAACACGGTTTTTACGTTTTCTCCAGCCTTATGCGACCAACACAAATTAAACACAAAAATTAAAAGCCAAAAATTACGTGGTAAACAAATTCAAAATGCTTGTTATATAATGCAGTTTTGTAAGGAGACTGCACGTGAGAATTTATTTATTAGAATACTTGGAAGGATCTTTTTGTTTCATTTGAAGATAATGGGTTAGTAGTTTTGCTTTCAAACATGAATTCTATGGCATCGGATAACAGTTTTCATATGGTGGCACAATTCATAGCAAAACAAGCGGGAAAACCGGGATTGGGAGTATTTTTTTAATTTGAAAATGACATCATGGAGGGAAAACCACATCGGTGGTGTTCTGTTGTAAAATGCTCAAGTGCATGAGTAGACGACCCAGGTAAATGCAGAAGTGTGGTGGTTTGGTGAGACTGAAAACTGAATCGTCCAATCGTTGGTTTCGAATGGTTAGGCTAAATATCACCAGTTAAAGGTGCATTATGTAGAAAAGAAGTAAAACAGTGGTTACGCCCCTCCTTTCTTTGTTTTGAAAGGAAAAAAACTGAGCAGCCAGCTGGATATGAAAAATGCTTCAGTATAACCTTACTTCCGATTGACTGAAACATTAGATGCTTTTGGGATTTTCTCTCTGAAAAATTCTCACTATATTCTTACATACTGCACCTTTAAATCTGACATCATACATAAAGTTATCTGACGCCACAAGATTTTGATTTGAGGATTAAACATTTATCAGTTTAAGGTGAGTCATAATTTATACTTTTGATTATAAATAAATATTGATGAAGGTATCATCAACCATTTATTAAGAAGTGTCTGATTGCTCAAAACATCTTAAAATGCCAACAATATAGTGCTTCACTTCCCATGGTGACAGGATTAAATTAAATCCAGTAGTTTAGTGCTTGCTTTCTGCAAAATTGGACATTAACCCATATTGACTTTTGCCAAAAATTATGCATCAAACCCTTTATGGTCTTAAAGCCCCCTCATTGGGTACTGGGCTTAATAGTTTCATCAAGACATTTTAATAATAAACCTGAAATTAAAAGTTTGGAAAATTGACTCAAGCTTTAAACCAACAGAGACAAACAGGGTTGTACAAACTGTACAAGAACATGTAAAGATAATTGACTAAGATGAAAATTTTCAATAGTCTCTGTTACTCATGTCAAAAAGTGAAACTCTTATATTAAAATGATTGATGAAGATAGACAGATATTTTTCAAGCCTTTAGCACATTGTGTAAAACACCAAAGTCAGGACTTGAATTCCTCCTGTAGTGTTTCCAAAGCTGCTGTAAAATCTACATATGACCCCTTGGAGTGGCTGCTGTCAATGCCAGATTGATGACCTGCAGCTTGAGTCTATCTGGAATGAGATATGAACACGTTCATGTTCAGTTCATGTCTGTCTCTTAGTTAGGTTGTAATGTGTTTCTAAGTGTGACAGGCAGGCACGTGGGGGGGGGGGGGGGGGGGGGTGGGGGGGTGTGGGGGGGGGGGGGGCAGAGGGTGCTTGAGACCCTGCCCCTTTTGTCCCATGTGCCCAAAGTGTTAATGATTTTTTATATATATATTTTTTAATTTTTTTTAAAGAATTTTCTGTTTGTGCCCCCTCAACAATAACAAAAATAATAATTAATAAAATTTCTGTTTAATAAAGTTATATAGCTGGCGTGGGTCACGTGACCACCTTCTCTTCCTGACACCAGAGCGCACAGCCGGTCAGCACCCACGTTTCCTTCATGGCCGAGGGAGCGGTGCAGAGCTTTTAGGACATACATATTGATTGGGAGGAACGGACTAACACCGGTAAGTAGGATGCACACTACTATACACAGCTATTAGATTATTTTGTACATTATTAAGTTGTTTTGTGGCACTAGGTGTGTGTGATAAATTACTAGCTGGGTGTGTGTCTGTGGCTGGGTACTGATTCTGAACCTCAGTAGCTTTAGGATTAACCAAAAACATTCTGTACATGTGCGAAAATATTTTTTCAATCTTAAATATTGGGAATTTGCCAATAAAATGTTGTTGTTGTTAACTAGGTACGCAAAGTTGCATTCCTATTGCTGCTGCGTGTCACATGACAGCCCTGCTTCTTTTTTACAAAATCACTTCCTGGTTCGCGGACTAATAAAACTTGAACAAATTTTAAATTTAGCTACCTTTTGTGAAAGGAAATAAGAAAAATACTAAAGGTAACATCCGTCACAAGTTTTGTGTTACAAAATATTCGGTCCTTGTCTGTAAATTCGGTCCAGCATTTTAGGGAACATAGTTTTGTTTTAGATTTTAAGGTTTCTCAGCCCTTCTGGTGGGTGTTTTAGTTCACTAATACTATGCATATTCTCAAAATTTTGGAGTTTATATTTGCTCTCTTTTTGAATGCATTGTATTAAAAACATTATGTTTTAAAGATGTACATTTAAAAAAACTGCTGTTTTCACAGCAAAATTATTTTATCTGTACAGTTCTCTGTTTTGCACAAAGTAGATAGTAAAACTGAATGAAAGCATAAACATATTGTTTTATTCTTTGTTTTTATTGTAATTACTAAAGCACTATGATTAAAATATTATGGACATATTCTGGATCAGCATCATGAAGCAAATTTGTGGCCAAATTATATACAGTTAGTTTTCTGGATAAGGAATGAAATGTCCCAGAATGTGTATGCATGAGTTTTATATGCATGAAAACATATTTGTAAATTAATTATGATATATCATTGTACAGACATGCCTCGTAAGGAGAGGAGGCGGAAGCAGCGACAGAAAGAGCTACATGAGGCAGCTAAAGACAGTGGGTCCCTCACCAGCTGGATAAAAGAGTGCAGGTAAGTTGCATCACAGCAACAAGTGTAGAAACAATAATATACACAACTGCAATGTTTTGATGCCAGAAAATCTTTTTTGTTAGCTACTTGATCATGGATTAGGTGCAAGACCTGTTAAATGTGAATAACTACATAATTCATTCATACAATAGCTAATTTTGCCTTGTTCTTAGATGGACAGCAAGTGGAAAGTGATAGATCACATGAGGAGATTGAAGACACACACAACTCTTTCTGTTTATATTTCTGTCACATTCTTATATCTGACATAAACTCCTCTATTATCCACTAAGTTTAGATTTCCATTTATTCACCACAGGTTTTGTCTCTGATATTTCTGTCTTACAGTTCTAAGAGTTTTCACCAATTTTTGCCATTCTTTTATGATCTTACCTTAATTTTGTAATTGACTAACATTTCTCCTCTGTTCGTTTTACTACCTACAGTCTGAGATCAACACAGCCTTGCCCTCCAGCATCACCAGCAGCAGCAAGAGGAGCAACCCTGCAACAGCTACATTGTGCCCCATCATCAGGTAAAATAGGACAGCAATAGATCAGGAGGTGGAGCAGGTTGTCCAGTAATCGGAACGTTGCAGGTTTGATCCTGACTTCAATCAGAGATTGATGCTGTTGTGTCCTTGGGCAAGACACTTAACCTGCTTTGCCTGCTGGTGGTGGTCGGAGGGACTGGTGGCGCCTGTGCTCAGCAGCTTCACCTCTGTCAGTGCGCTCCAGAGCAGCTATGGCTACATCATAGCTCATCACCATCAGTGTGTTAATGTGTGTGTGTGAATGACTGATTGTGTTGTAATGTGCCTTGGGGGGGTTGTAGAACCCTAAGAAGGCATTATACAAATACAGACCATTTACCAAAACAAGTTACTTTTGCTTTACAATGTCCTTATGGTGTAGATAATGATTCACTTCCATTTTGAATTTCTAATAAATATGATTTGTTATTCAGCCGGGTATACTGTGGTTATGTCATGGTGTTAGAAAATATTATTCTGTGTGCCCCTTTTTAAATTTGAGCACCCGCCCCTTCAAAGGTCTCTGCACAGCCCTGGTGACAGGTGCAATCTCCTTTAATCACAGCTTTTGGACCCTGCTGCAAACTTAAGGTCTCTATTAATCACCGTGACATCCCGGAGAGACCGAGGTGAACACTGTAGAGCTTGTTTGTTTTGATATCCAATGTTTAGAGACTTGTTTTATGTTGTAGGATTAAATATGTTGCTTTTAAGCTTACTGTATTACCTTTACTTATGACCAATGAACTGTATTCTATATAAATATAGAGTAACACTCTGATTGGTCTTTGAATGTTTAATCAGAAGATTCTAGGATTCTTTGCTTTTTCAGTGATGTAGCGTCACAAAGGTCCTCCCAGCTAGGTCAAGCTGGGTCAGACTGTAACTTTTGGTTCCACAGATTAATCCAGGAGTCATGATGGCTGCTGAATATCATCTATATCTGCTGCTGTTCCGTCCCAGAGTGAAGGACACTTCAAGTTTCACAATAATAATTTAAATTATAATTTTAATAAACTATTTGACTTTATTACTGTTTATTATAATCATCATAAATAATCACTTGGTTCAGTAAATGTATTTTAATTACTGAAATGAATTATTATGCTTTGGGTATAATAATGATTTTTGTTATAATCAGTAATGTGTGTTCAGTAAACCAGAAGGTCAACTTCCACTTTATCCATCCAACACAGAGCTTATCCAGAGTAAAGGTAAACTGCCATCACATGTCTTTGCCTCATGACCAAAGCTTTCTTGCTCTGAGAGGGGGCATGTTCTGAGGGGTTTGTTAAAACTAACTTTCCAGCAGCAAAACTTCAGTTCGTGAACCAACCACCATCCGGAGGATAAGGGAACGGCCGCCCTGAACCTCCACCTGCTGTTCTGTCACGCTGATAGAATAGCTTGAATAAACGCATGATAACCAGCTGACGCAAAACTCCTTCAGATTTATTGATTTTGAGTTAAGTAACACGCAAAACTCATTCAGAGTTAAGCCAACCGCTCGACACTGTGTACCCTGCGACATCTCTGGACCAGAGGATCAGTTTCACTCGCGTCTTCTCTACCGGACTGAGTACCCTGAGGCTGACAACATCCTCCTTGACCTCCGGATCCACACGGAGGGTCGTCTTGCTGGGTGAGGTATTGATGCTTGTTGTGTTTGATGCTGTTTCTCTAAATGACAACCGAGTTGGCTGCAAAACCATCATTTCACCCAGAACGAGTTCCTTTCTCTGAAAGAAACCTTCTGAGAATTCGTTCACGCATCCAAGCTCTCATTTCATTTTAGCTTTCCATCCAGTCACAGGTTTGCCTTTAAAACAAGTTTTAATATCAAAGCTGGTAAATTGTCATTTCTGAATTGTCGTTCCAAATTGTCAAGTTTAAAATTGTTAGTAATAAATTCTTAACTTTAAAAACTTGACTCTCATTTTTTAAATGAAACACAGAAAGGTATAAATATTTCTGGTTATTGAAAAAGCAAAGATTCCTAACTTCTGATTCAAAAATAAACTTTTGCTATTAAAATGTAATTATCTTAAATTAAACGTTAATATTTGGATTTAAAATAGACCAAGTAGGTTGGTGTATGAACTTCTATCGATTATATAAGTATCTTGGATATTTATACATGATATAGGCTCATACGCAAATGTGCTCGGTCATTCTCAGAATCTAACAACTGATAGCAAAGTGTTGATTCTAGTATGTAGAATACGCTACAGTGATCAAACACTTCATATTAATTCAGACAGAGTCAGGTTTATAAAAAGCAAGAAACTTATTTTCTAAACAATTAAAAACATGACAAGTTAACTAAGACTATGGTGATGGATGAATCTAAGTGGATGGGATGTGATGTGTGGTGATTTAATGGTGTGTGTTTATCAGAACCTTGTATCTGGAGAAAGTGAGTTCTGGGTGTCAAAAGAATTTGGTCTGCATTAAACTATGAAGTTGGTTCTTATAAAAACGGCATCAGATGCTATCTTGCTGTGTTCTATGTACCCCTGAGGAGACTCCCTTTTGGAACCGAGATGTCGGGGGGGGGGGGGGGGGGGGGGGGGGGGGTCGGGTGACCCCAAGGTACTGAAGTTCGCAGAAAAGACAGCAGTACGACCAGGTCAGTCCAGAGTCGTCTCCCGGATCACAACAGATAGATGAAATCGTTTGCATCTAGAACAGCTGTTTCTGAATAGCTGAAGGAACCGTTTTGCTGTGTCAGCTGTAGCGTATAGGCTCTTTGCAGCTTGTCAAGAGATGCGGTGGTTAGAGAGTTTTCCCCCGTTGGGCAGTCAGAGTTAGCTCAACTAACAGGATACTGAATCTCACAGAATACTCGAACGCTGGAATGCTGAATCACAGTAAGTGATTCTGTTTTAATATTCTCATATTATGACTTACTTGGCCAATCAGGATGTGCCATGTTAAGGGGTGTTAACAAACAAACCTCAAAACATCACGCCTTCTTTCAGATACAGGATGCTCTAATTTGTGGGTAAGAAAATATCTATGTGCACAAATTAATTTATCTCTAATGAACATTGTGTCTCTCTAATGAACATTGTGTCTGAGTGTAGATAATGATTCACTTGTTAAACCACACATTACTGATCATAGCACAATAATATTCCTTTCAACCACAGTAATGTAAGCACAGATTAATCAAAACATTTCATTTAACCATATTATTCATTTCATGATTGATTGATTAACTCATATGAGCTGAAAATAGTCACTTTATTCAGAGGCATGAGGAATCCTGTAGAAGTGATAAGGGAAGCTTAGGCCTTGAAACGGGAAGTTTGTTGGCAATATGTTATCATGTGTCCAGTGCTGCAGAACCTTCTGGGCTTATTGGAAGGTAGAATGTAAAATCCACCTTAGAGAATGGAATTTATGTCTGCAGATGATCAGTGGCATGTAGGTCAGTATGTAGGTAAAAACTGACCATTCCTGGACGTTACAATGTTATTTCCATCAGAAGGCAAAAATAAATAACTTTATACATACTACTAACGAATTAACTGCTAAATGAAAGGTAAATAAGTCAAAGTATATCTTTAGCTTCATGCATGGGTGTCAGGATGGCAGCAAAGAGCTAAAACAAGGCTATTTCATTATCAGCAGCTAGCTGTAGCAATTGCAGCACCTCCTACAGGAATGTCACATTTCTCCTGGAGTAACCCTATTATTCTAGCCTGGCAAACCATCCTATATATATGAACATACGCTCACTGGTCACTTTACCAGGTACACCTTGCTAGTACCGGGTTGGACCCCTTTTGCTTTTAGAATAGCCTTAATCCTTCATGGCACTGCAGATTAAGGAAGGTACTGGAAACATTCCTCAGCGATTTTGGTCCATATTGACACAACAGCGTCACACAGTTGCCGCAGATTTGTCGGCTGCACATCCATGATGTGAATATCCCGTTACACCACATCCCAAAGGTGCTCTATTGGATTGAGATCTGGTGACTGTGAAGGCCATTGGAGTACAGTGAACTCATTGTCATGTTCAAGAAACCAGTCTGAGATGATTCGAGCTTTATGACAAGGAGCATTATCCTGCTGGAAGTAGCTATTAGAAGATGGGTACACTGTGGTCATGAAGGGATGGACATGGTCAGCAACAGTATACTCAGGTAGGCTGTGACTTTGCAACGATGATCAATTAGTACTATCGGGCCCAAAGTGTGCCAAGAAAATGTCCCCCACACTATTACACCTCCACCACCCACCTGAACCGTTGATACAAGGCAGGATGGATCCATGCTTTCATGTTGTTGATGCCAAATTCTATCCCTACCATCCGAATGTCGCAGCAGAAATCAAGACTCATCAGACCAGGCAACATTTTATAATCTTCTATTGTCCAATTTTGGTGAATCTGTGAATTGTGGCCTCAGTTTCCTGTTCATAGCTGACAGGAGTGGTACCCGGTGTGGTCTTCTGCTGCTGTAGCCCATCTGCCTCAAGGTTCCACGTGTTGTGTGTTCTGAGATATTTTAGCTATCCTGAGGAGACACGTTAGCTCTGTGTTAGCAGGCTTGCTAACAGAGACACTTGGTGTTTGAGTCCTTGCCTGCCATAAATTGTGTTACTGTGTTGTTTTCGTGCAAGAAACAAATATTATTGATGTTGAGGGACTTATTGAAATTAAAACTAAGCCATTTTTATTCAATTGAAAAATCTCTATCTCAGGATGAATCTAAAAAGTCATGTTTGTTTTTTAAAAGGTTAAATCCGATTTATTTCTCCCGATTCCGATCCTTTCCAAAACACGTGATCGAGCCCGATTTCCGATCACACGATCGGATCAGAGCATCCCTAAAAATAATCTAAACAATAAAAAGAAAACCTTTAAGTAATTTCTTATCTTCTCTTAAAATTAAAAAATAAACATTTCAACAAAAGTATTGTTAAGGTACCGCCATCAAAAACCAGGTATTGGTACCCAGCCCTACTTACGCTGTTATATTGTAAACATGTTTTACGTTACCTAGCTACCCTTTCTGTGAAAGTTGAAACCTCTCTGCTACTCTTCTCTACCGAGTGTTTTGGCAAGATATAATAAAAACAATAAATAAATGAACAAAAGTTCACGGATTCTTTTTGCCAATAGGGCAGTGAAAAAGTTATTAATTTTTTATGTGAGTGGTCTTAAAAAGGTGTTAAAACGTCTTGAATTTAATTTGATTAAACCTGTAGAAACCCTGTAATTGTGACAAAGTCTAGCATGGGATACGTCTTTTGTACTTTGAAACATGAAGCAGGTCCTACAGAAATTTTAGCTGCCATTTAAACACACGAGACCACAGTCAGCTTGTTTCTCTGGTCCGTCCTCCTGAGTTTTCTTGTAAAAGGCTGTGGTCCCCACAGAATATTCAACCGTTTCCATCTATCTTTTTGACAGTTGGTGCAGTTAATAGCCTTGTCACCTCTGCTTAGGGGTTGCCAGACAAAATGGGGTTGAGCATTTCTTTCTGCCCCATAGATTATGTGTCTTTTTGATGATACTCCTCAATAACACTTACAGCAAAGCTTAACTTCTGGAGGAATTCACATTTGACCCAACAGGCTGATGGAAAACCTTTGGAACAAGAGGGTGGAAAGTAAATGTGAGGTATACTGTTGAGAAATTCTGCTAATAATGTGCCTGAAATATTATATTTCAGAATTTGCAACTAATCTCTTCTCTAACATTTATGAATTTCTAAATTTTGTGTGTGTCTGGTTTCATCAACTTCTGTTTTGACTGCAGAAAACATCTCACTATACTGTAAACCAGGGTCTTATTGAACAGTCTAGTAGTGCATGATTTCCTTTTTGAACCATACTATTTGCTGTATTCAAGAGAGAGAAAAAAAATAGATACAGGGAATGGATAAAGCAATTGATATTTAAAAAAAACAAAGGAATAAAAGCATGTGAATCGTGACAGCTTCAAGATCTGACCGAACTAGCTTGCTCCCTTCAGGACTGATAGGTTGATAAAACAGTCATAATTAAAAATGTTTTTTTAACTGGTCGAGTAGTGATATGCTTTGTGTGGGTTAGGCTAGAGAGATTGGAAATTGATATATTCACGCTCATGAGTGGGCCACCATAGCTGCAATACTCTTTCTGACCTGCATGGCACTAAAGAGTAGCATTTTTTTAAATCTTGATTTCAATGGATTTCACACATGGAGGCCAAAAATAAATGTTTTCTACTGCAACCCATAAATACCAGCTATACCTTTTCTATTAGCCCTGCAAACTAGAACCGCATATTTCTCATCGCTAACTGAGGAGAATAAGAATAAATTAATAATAAATTTCTTTTCAGTACAATTGCTAAACTTACAGAGAATCATAGCTCTGAACCATCTATTCCCTTAGCCTTCAGCAGCAATGACTTTATGGGATTTGTCACGAGTAAAATTTATTCTATCAGAAACAAAATCATTAGCATCCTCCCTAATGCGATTTCTTCTTCCTCAGTAAGTGAGGCAGCATCAAAGGTAACTGTAGAACCTCATCTGTGTTTGAACGCATTAGAGAAAAGTTACAAATTATGTTCTCATGGCCTCAGATAAGAATCCTGTGTCTGTTCTAGTCTCATTAGATCTTAGTTCTGCTTTTGACACAGTCGATCACAATATTCTTTTAGAAAGGCTTGAACATGTTGTAGGGATCAAAGGAACAGATTAGGGTTGAGCCGGATACTCGTTTCAGACGAGTATAAAGAATTTTCGACAATTACGAGCACAAAACAATTAAAGCTCATGAATATCTGTATCTGAAGCTGAAGGAAAACCTTCATTGGGTAACTGACTGTCTTCAGGCTCTGTGATTTGGACTCAAATCAGAAATAAGCAGATCTCTGCTTAAGCTGGATGATGTCAAATATAAAATCATGTTCACAGATAACTGGTCTTTAATGAAAAAGTATATTAACCTTTTGTATTTTAAAATGGATTTTATTTCATTTCTAAGGTTTGGATGTCT